AGACCAATAAAAGTAAAATGTGTCTAATAACCAAAATCGTAGCATTAAACGACATCTCAACATCAAAACATATATTCCCAAATGTCCAGTTCCAGTTAATGATAGATCATCAGCATAAACTCCCAAAAAATCAACTTCAGAAGCAATAATCAGCTTCGCTATACAGCAGCAGACCATCAAATCCATTTTGTTTCCTGCATCAGTAAAGAACCGGACAAAAACAAAATAGACATATATATATGACAGTCATATATCAGGAAATGTGTATGGTAGTCAAGATATGACTTCAAATATTCAATGAAAGGTTATGATATGAGGGATATCCAAACAGTCCCCATGTAAAAGTAACTTTAGATTTGAATCGAAAACAGAACCCACATAAACCTCCCCAGAATTGGCTCCCAGCTTATCAAAATAATCAGTTCGCTTATTTGCTTCTCTATATACAAGAGACCTATGTATATTGAAATTAGGCAACATCTCTTTTATCTTGTTCCAGAGCAAAATAACATTCCCATGCAGCTTATTTCCCTTCTAACAATTTGAAATAAAGAACCATCATCCATATCAATGATTAAGTTGTAGATAAAGAGTAGTGAATTCAGCAAAAAGAGCTGAAGAGGCATCACAAGGAGCATAAAATGATAGTAAGCCAACTCCCAAATGATCTCTAATTATTCCACCAGCACCAACATTATATTTTTAAGACTACCATCCACATTTAGCTTTAGAAAAGGCCTACAGGGCTTCTCCCATTTTGTCAATGTACAATTATTTTTTAGAGAAATACCCTTTATTGACCCATAGGAGTAATTTATAGTTTTTTTAGTCAAAACTGCTGCCTTATTAAAATCAATAGCCTTTGCGATAAAGAATTTTATGTGAACCAAAATTCTATCAGCTGGGAAGATCAAATTATGATGCTTCCTTTTGTTTCTTTCCAACCACAGAAACCAACAAACTATGTAGGGAATCAAGTTTTGTGTAGTTATAAAATTGTTATTATTTGGATGACAATAATGTTTGCATTGATCGAAGGAGTTGTACCCCTTTTCAGGTAGAAAAATACCAGAAGTATAAGCCATACTTTTCCAAATTTCCAACGCATATCTGCAAGAGAAAAAGAGATGATTAAATTGCTCATCATCTTGCCTGCACATGAGGCAACAAGATGTCAATGTAATCCCTTTTAATTTTAAGATATCATCCACAGGTAATAGTTTATAGTTTAATCTCTATGCAAAGAAAGACTGGGATGGTTTGAGAAAGGAGTTCCTAAGGTTCACCTTCGATATTTTGATGCAAATGTATTCTGTTAGCAATGTGCTGGATAGTGAACCAGAAACAGGAGTTTTTAATAACACCTTATCTTTTTTTTGATTTATCAAAAGGAATATTCATAATATATTTAACCAGATCATGAGGTAAGCAATGCAAGAGCTTATCTCTAGTCCACTTATTATTAATCCAAAAATCAGCCACTTTTTGATGTGAATGGCTGATACCATTAGAGAAGTCTTTAAAAGGATCCAAAGAAGCTCAATCATTAAGCCAAAACCCAATGCCACCTTTACCAAAATCCCAGGCTATAAAAAGTTCATCTTTTTCCCTAACCTTTAGCATCTTCCTCCACATTATGGAATTCCCTGCCTTATAAGAGCATGGGTGATCTGGCTCGCCATATTTTTTATTCATAAATTGAGCCCAAATACTCTGGTCTTTATTCTATTTAATCCAGAGATTACAAAAATTAATCTCCATAAAATGGTTGAAGGACCTGAATCCTAAACCACCATTCTTCTTAGGTTTGCAAAGTTTTCTCCAAGGGGTCCAATGGATTCCAGTACCATGCCCGGCCCATAGAAATTTGTTGAAAATTCTTTCAATTTAGTTTGCATTATTTTACTCATTTTAGCAATTTGCAATACATACATTGGGAAGGAATTTAAGACATTCCGAAGCAAGCCTACCACCAAAGGATAGCACTGCATTTTCCCAGCTTTGTATTCTTTTAGAGATTTTAAGTAAAACATCATAAAAAGGAATATTCTTCCTCTTATTAGTATTCAAATTAATACCAAGGTATTTAAAGGGGAGGATACGCTGTTTGAAACCTGTATGCTGAAGAATCCAATGCTCCTTTTGGTAGGAATATGCTTGCTAAATAACAACTCACATTTGTTTTTACTGAAAACCATACTATAGACCTGTTTAAAATGAGTTAGTATGGAGGTAATATGTTCGATACAGTTCTTGCTCATATTACAGAAAATAATGATATCATTAGCAAAAGCAAGATGAGATATTAATTCACTCCTTTTAGCATGGTGCCTGTAATTTTGATGACCACCCAGGAGATAATTTAGCTTCATAGAAAGATAATCTACAACAAGCATAAAAGAAATAGGTGGTAGAGGATCTCCCTATTTTAAGCCCCTCTCCGATTTGAAATGACAAGAATGGAGTAATAATTGTTATCCTATTTTAAACCCCTCTACTTTTAAGCACATCAAGAAAGAAATACCAATTAATGCTATCAAAAGTTTTGTTTATATCAAGCTTTATAACCCCATTACCACCTCTGCATTTTGAGTCAAGATTCATTAATAGTTCTTTTGTGATCAAGATGTTGTCATTTATACTTCTTTCATTAGTGAAAGCAGTGTGTTGCGGGCAAATAGGATCATTCAACAAAGTTTGAAGCCTCTTTACAATAATTTATTTATGATTTTAGAGACCACAGTAGTTAAGCTAATTGGCCTAAAATTTTCACACTTATGCTGCAAATTATCTTTAGGAATGAGAACAATAGTAAAACATTTAAAATATTTACGGGGAATGTCACCATGAAAAAAGCTTTGAATGGCAACAACCACGTCAGTTTTAGCAATATCCCAAGCATGTATATAGAAGGCAGATGTAAACCCATCCGGACCAACCATTTTACTTTTATCAATGGTTTTGAGTGCCTCCAGCACTTCTAGATCATCAGGACTATTGCCAAGAGTGGTAAAGTAAACATTTCCAGTGTTAATAAGGAAAACACTTCTATCCAATTGTATTCTATTGAACTCCACTTCTTTGAATAAAGTACTAAAGTAATCTATAGCAGATTGGATTATATCAGTTTGGGAATGAATCCAAATATCCTCTTTATTTTTAATTCAAATGATTGCACTATCTTGTCTTTTTTGTTTTATACACACTTGAAAGAACTTTGTGTTCCTGTCCCCTTCCAAGTAGCTAAGATAAGAGGATTTCTGTTTTAGAAAATCAGTTTCTCTTTGCAGACAATCCTCTAAGATACCTTGAGCTCTTACAAGATCTTCCTCCTGCTTCACCTCATCTTCAACCTCTTTTTCAATTTTGGAAACCTGTTCCTCAGCAACCACAACAGCTTTGAAAACATCTCCACAAACCTCCCAATTCCAGCTTTTAAACATAGTTGCCATATTCTTATGTGATTGCCATAAGGAAATCCATGGATTTTTATGATTCCAAGAAGTTAGGATGAGTGACCCACATATTCAAGAACCTAAAAGTTTAACCGTTGGATTAGGGAGGTACTCCACCCTTAGGAGAAGGGGGGAGTGATCAGAATCAGTTCTGTTGAGGTGATTTACCTCAGAGAAATGAAAAGTATCAAGCCAGTCGTTATTTACGAGGAACATCAGCTTTATTTAAATATAATTGGCTTATATACTTTTAAAGTTTAATTAAAAAAATTACCAGCTTGAAACCGGTTCAAACTTGTATGTCATGTTTTTAGATTTTTTATGAAAACTGAAAGGTTATGGACTAATGGGAAATTGTGCTCGAAGCTTGTGTTTCGGCTTAACTTGAAACCAGTTCAAACATTTTTTGCATTGTAAAAAACTAAAAACTACTAGTTTTGTTTAGAAATTTTCGGATTTGTTTTCAATATAATATATTTCTTCTGTTTTTTTGTATATTATGTTGCAATGTTAGATTGGCTCATTGGCTTCAAATCCTGCCTTATGATTTGTATGCTTTGTCTGAGATGGCTATTTCCACATCTTCTCAATTATCCAGAGTTAGTTTAAGTTGAAAGGCTTGATTAATATCTACTATGGCATTTAAAATGGGGCATTTACAGCATGCCACCTAATTCCTATGTATTTACATATCTAATACCTTAACTTTACTTTTTTACATCTGTAGCACCAAAATCTTTCATATCACATTAGAAATACGACGGGTTTAACTTTTGAAAAGTGAACTACATGTTTTCATGCATGGGTATGGTGGTATATATGTACAAATTGAGTTTAGGTATTAGCTATGTAAATACATTAGGTATGAATGTAAATCTTCTTATATAAGGTACTTATTTGCTAAATATGAAGAAAGTTTCATACTCTTATCTTATGGAGAACTGCAAGATTTTACTTTCAATGAAACATGAATTTCCGTATTCATTGTTAGAATTTGTAACCAGAATTATGTCGAGCATAAAAAATTGTTCTACGACATATATGATGAAACCAAATTTATGGGAAACTTTTTTTAGGAATCATGATGGAGGTATTGGGCGGATATGTATCATTATTATTTTCTTAGAGCATTTACATACATACCTATCTAACACCTAAAATTTACATTTCACATTTATAGCAACCATATCTTTAATATCACATGAAAATACCACTATTTAAACTTTTAAATAGTGAAATACACATTTTCACACATTGGTAAGCTGGTATATATGTAAATATTGAAATTTAAATGTTAATAAGTAAATACATAGGAATTCAATGGTATGCATATAATTATTTTTTTTTTGCTTCTCTCGCTCTCGTGTGCGACTCCTCTTCTTTTTGATTTAATGAATTCTTCTCTTTTACCCGTGATTTTTGCTGTCTAGGATTTTCCGCGCAATCTTTGATATTTCTTGATTTTTTTTTTGTTGTTTTTTCTCTTACACAATTAGTCTAACATTTGCACTCTCATCTAAGCTGTGATTTTTCTCTTTTTTGCAGGATGGGTGGCAAGGTTTCAAGGGGTACAGTTGGGAACCCAATGATTTGTTGTTCACTGTGCATAAATTGGCTTACTCTACATTCAAAACAGAATTAGAAGTCTTGGTGTCATCTGATAATTTCAGGGATGAGAAGCAGAAGTTCATTTTGAAAGGCAGCCCGTTCCAACGCTCATGCACAATATACTCTGGAGATTCTATTGTTGCTCAGGTAATCTCTATCTTTATTTATTAAAAAAAAAGGCGAAGATTTACGTGCATACCAAATAAGTCTTATGTATTTACATATCTAACACCTAAACATTCATATTTACATGCATACCGCTCAACACCTTAACATCACATCTAAAATACCACCCTCACTATTTTTTGAACACGTTTTTATGCATGAGTTTATGACACCAAAGTTTTATAAGTGTAAATATCAAATTTTGGGTGTTAGATAAACTAAAACAGAAGAACTGTGTGGTATTATGTAAACTTCCCTTTAAAAAGAAAGATATCCATATATACCACTCCAATTTCCATGTATTTCATATCTAACACCTGAACTTCAACTTCTTACAACTATACCGCCTTGCTTATGCATGAAATGATGTATTTCGCTTTTTAATTGTGATGTAAAAGATTTGAATGGTAAAATTGTAAATCACAAAGTTTAGGTGCAACATATGTAAATACATAGGAATCTGGTGGTGATATACATATAAATCTTAAAAAAATTGATTCTTTTACAGCAGCATTTACATACATAGCACTCAATTATTATGTATTTACATATCTAGCATTTAGACATTGATTTTTTACATCTATACCGCCCAATAAATTTCACATCACAAAAAAGACCACTTTTTAAACTTTCAATATGTGAAATGCATAGATATGATGATATATATGTAAAAACTAAATATCAAATACGTAAGAATTGAATGGTATGCTTGTAAAAGAAAGTATGATAAACTCCTGTTGTTTTCTGCAGGCGAATCCCTTGTACAAGCTCAAGAAATTTATCTATTCAAGAAATAAATTTCGGCTTACTCTGTATCCTGGAGCAGACCATCCCCTCATGCTGGCAATGCTTGTAACTTATTTTGGAGGGAACTGAAAAGCAGGAGAAATTAAAAGCTGAAATGTGAACAATTTGTATGAGCTTTCTGCTGTATCTAATGCCATCAGGTGGTCTGGTTCTGTATGTTCAGATTTTGCCTTTCTGAGCAGTAGACATAGTACAGCTTAGAGACATGAATAGCTGCGCTGTAAGTTGTCTTTCTGGTCTCATTGTGTTGATAGGAGGGTAGGAATCAGAACAGTTTTGCAGTTGGGAAGCAGCTCATGTAGCTTATGAATAGCTCTCTCTCTCTCTCTCTCGCACGAACACGTTGGTTCTTCCAATCTTTAGCTCATTGGAGGCCTAGAATGAGAAAGGAACACACTAATGGTGGGTAGAGGTGTAAACGTGTTCGGCTCGTTTATATCTCGAGCTCAAAATGTGTGTTCGTGTTTTGGCCCCTTTTTTTTAACGGCCCGAACCCGCCCTTTTCCCCAACAAAG